AAGTTAAACAGCAGCAACATCAGTCAACTAAAGAGTAGCCAGTTTCTGTTCCATTTACAACTCAGTGAAAGAGCGTAATGCTTACACTGAACTATGCTCAACTCTCCCGTGCTGGTCCACCCAGCCTTCCAGAAGCTTTGCTTTCACACAGCCTAAATCCAGTCGGATAAACACTCCAAACAGCCTACCTGACCGCTCGCAGGTGTCCGGATGGTCCTAAAGCACACTGTTGCCTTGTTTTGTATCACATTCCAATTAAAAGAATAGTGGAGGGGAACCAAAATGCTATTTCAGAATATGTGTGTGTGTGTGTGTGTGTGTGTGGGTGGGAAAGTTGCGCCCCTGTTTTAAATAATGTTTACATATTGTTTTACCCACTTCATATGTACAGTACTATGAAAAAGTATTTGACCCATTTCTAATTTTCTAATTTTTTAATTCTAATTACTTTTTCACACAGGGGAATTGGGTGTTGCATAACTTTGTTTATGAAATAAATATGTAATTGTTGTGTTATTTGTTCACTTATGTTCCCTTTATCTAATATTAGGTTTTGGTTGAAGATCTGATAACATTCAGTATCACACATATGCAAAAGTAGAGAAAATTAGAAAGGGGGCAAATAGTTTTTCATAGCACTGTATATACTGTATTCTAGTCAAGGCCTATCCTATTTAACTATTGCTGTACATATACTATTCTTCAGATATACTACATATTCTATCCATATATTGTGTATATTGTCTACACATCCCATCAAATATACTGTGTATATTCAGTACCAGTCAAAAGTCTGGACACACCGACTCATTCAAGGGTTTTTCTTTATTTGTACTATTTTCTACATTGTAGAATAATAGTGAAGACATCAATACTATGAAATAATGCATATGGAATCATGTAGTAACCCAAAAAGCATTAAACAAATCAAAATACACTACTATTCAAAAGTTTGGGGTCACTTAGAAATGTCCTTCTTTTTCGAAAGTAAAGCAATTTATTTGTCCATTAAAATAACATCAAATTGATCAAAAATACATTTAATGTTGTAAATGGCTATTGTAGCTGGAAACGAAAAAGCGTTAAACAAATCAAAATAAACTACTATTCAAAAGTTTGGGGTCACTTAGAAATGTCCTTCTTTTTCGAAAGTAAAGCATTGCAATTAAACTGGCCTTCCTGAGACTATTTGAGTATCTGGAGCATCAGCAATTGTTGGTTCGATTACAGACTCAAAATGGCCAGAAACAAATAACTTTCTTCTGAAACTCATCAGTCTATTCTTGTTCTGAGAAATGAAGGCTATTCCATGCCAGAAATTGCCAAGAAACTGAAGATTTCGTACAAAGCTGTGTACTACTCCCTTCACAGAACAGAGCAAACTGGCTCTAACCAGAATAGAAAGAGGAGTGGGAGGCCCCGGTGTACAAGTGAACAAGATGACAAATACATTAGAGTGTCTAGTTTGAGAAACAGGCGCCTCACAGGTCCTCAACTGGCAGCTTCATTAAATACTACCCGCAAAACACCAGTCTCAACGTCAACAGTGAAGAGGCGACTCCGGGATGCTGACCTTCTAGGCAGAGTTGCAAAGAAAAAGCCATATCTCAGACTGCCCATCTTAATATTTTCTTTTTATTGGCCAGTCTGAGATATGGCTACACTGTTTTCTTTCGAAAACAAGGACATTTCTAAGTGACCCAAAACTTTTGAACGGTAGTGTATATTTTATATTTGAGATTCTTCAAAGTAGCTACCTTTGCCTTGATGACAGCTTTGCACACTCTTGGCATTCTCTCAACCAGCTTCACCGGAAATGATTTTCCAATAGTCTTGAAGGAGTTCCCACATATGCTGAGCACTTGTTGGCTACTTTTCCTTCATTCTGTGGTCCAACGCATCCCAAACCATCTCCATTGGGTTGAGGTCGGGTGATTGTGGAGGCCAGGTCATCTGATGCAGCACTCCATCACTCTCCTTCTTGGTCAAATAGCCCTTACACAGCCTGGAGCTGTGTTGGGTCATTGTCCTGTTGAAAAACAAATGATAGTCCCACTAAGCGCAAACCTGATGGGATGGCGAATTGCTGCAGAATGCTGTGGTAGCCATGCTGGTTAAGTGTGCCTTGAATTCTAAATAAATCACAGACAGTGTCACCAGCAAAGCATCCCCACACAATCACACCTCCTCCTCCATGCTTCACGATGGGAAGCACACATGCAGAGATCATCCGTTCACCTACTCTGCGTCTCACAAAGACACGGCAGTTGGAACCGAAAGTCTCACATTTGGACTTATCAGACCAAAGGACAGACTTCCACTGGTCTAATGTCCATTGCTTTCTTGGCCCAAGCAAGTATCTTCTTATTACTGGTGTCCTTTAGTAATGGTTTATTTGCAGCAATTTGACCATGAAGGCCTGATTCACGCAGTCTCCTCTGAACAGTTGATGTTTAGATGTGTCTGTTACTTGAACTCTGTGAAGCATTTATTTGGGCCGCAATCTGAGGTGCAGTTAACTCTAATGAACTTATCCTCTGCAGCAGAGGTAACGCTGGGTCATCCTTTCCTGTGGCGGTCCTCATGAGAGCCAGTTTCATCATAGCGTTTGATGGTTTTTGAGACTGCACTTGAAGAAACTTTCATAGTTCTTGACATTTTCCGGATTGACTGACCTTCATGTCTTAAAGTAATGATGGACTGTAATTTCTCTTTACTTATTTGAGCTGTTCTTGCCATAATATGGAATTGGTCTTTTACCAAATAAGGCTATCTTCTGTATACCAACCCTACCTTGTCACAACACAACTGATTGGCTTAAACGCATTAAGGAAATAAATTCCACAAATTAACTTTTAACAAGGCACACCTGTTAATTGAAATGCATTCCAGGTGACTACCTCATGAAGCTTGTTGAGAGAATGCCAAGAGTGTGCAAAGCTGTCATCAAGGCAAAGGGTGGCTACTTTGAAGAATCTCAAATATAACATATATTTTTATTTGTTTAACACGTTTTTGGTTATACATGATTCCATATGTGTTATTTCATAGTTTTGATGTCTTCACTATTGTTCTACAATGTAGAAAATAGTAAAAATAAAGAAAAACCCTTGAATGAGTAGTTGTGTCCAAACTTTTGACTGGTACTGTCTATATATTTATTCTCCGGACTCCGACATTGCTCGTCCTAATATTTCTATATATTTCTTAATTCCATTCTTTTACTTTTTAGCTTTGTGTGTATTGTTGTGTATTGTTAGATATTACTGCACTGTTGGAGCTAGGAACACAAGCATTTCGCTACACCCACAATAACATCTGCTAAATATGTGTGTTGCGACCAATAAAATTTGATTTGATTTGAAGTTAGCGAAACAATACCATGTAATCAATAGTTAACACTCCCGCTATGGGTAAAGTATATCTACATAAAAAAAAGTTGATAAAACATTTTATTTTGGCCTGTTATTTTATTTCCATGACGGTCTTCATCCAAAACCGTCAATGTCATGGTTATCCAATTACCGCCACAGCCCTAAGCATGACTCTCCCCCATTTTCCTCCAGGTACCCATGCTGTACATTTCAATCCATCCCTAATGGATGAGAGTTGTAGTTAACACACTGGGCAGAATTAGGCTAATATCACCAATTACCATGTAAAAACCCACCAGCAGAGCACTCTTCACTCAGGAGATCAGTCCCTCTATGTCAACACAATTAAAATGCATTAGAATTCAATAACAGCATTGCAGACGCTGTATACCTATAACCCCTTGTCTACAAATAGAATAAACCAACTAGTACTCACACGCCCAAACACAAACCCACTCCGCAAACAGACTTCAAAATGTATATCTAGGTGACACACTCATACAGTAAGCATTCTGTAATGCATACTGTATAAAACTTTGAGCGCTTTCACATATCCCCTTATGATCCGGATCCTGGAGCGTTTGATACCCTGATCCGTGCTATAAAGCATGTGTGAAACGCAAACAAACCCTGGCTGAAACTAATCCTGGACCTGTATGAGTAGTGGGTCCAAGATCCAGGACCAGAGTACCAGGTATTGTGATGCGGCAGCGCGAGTCACGTGGAACCTTTTAACCCATTGTAAACAAGCTAGCTCGCTAACATCATGTAGAATGTGCGTCTTGCTAATCGCACCCTGAAACGGTTATGTTCAGGTCTTGTGAAAGCAAAACGTTTTCTGTAGAATTCTCACAAAAGCTCCAGGAAACCGAACCAGGGTACCGAATTTCATGTGTGAAAACGCCCTTAGTGATTACTAGCTTGCAGGCTGTCAATCACGTAGTGAGGCAACAGGGGACTCAATAGAAGACTTTCCCCATCTTCCTCAGGGACCCTGGGTTGACACCAAAGCCCCCCAAAACACACAGTAGATTTGAGTGAAGAGACAGGTCCTCTGAGCCTTTTTAATCTCCGCCTTTAATAGTTCACAAACCTTTTCTGACATCTCCCTTTGAACACACGTCTTTTTGTTTTTCCTCCTTCAGAAAGTATCATTTAAGGCGGTTGCTACAGTCTGTTGGATGCACATAGACTCTGGCAGTCTGAATACATTTGAATGGAGCTTGAACTGGATTAACTGAGAGGGAGCAGGAGGGGACACACAGAGAGAAGGAATAGGGGAACGGAGATAGGGGCGAATGGGAGGGAAGGGAGAGGAGGGAATATGGGGAGAAGAGACTGAGGCGAATGGGAGGGAGGCGAATGGGAGGGAGGTGAAAGGAAGGAATATGGGGAGGGGGCGATGGAGAGGGAGGTGAGAGGAGGGAATACAGGGAGGGGGTAGATAGAGAGGGATCGGTATGCATGACAGAGAGTGTGAGGGACTGAGAGGGGGATTGAAGGAGGGAGAGAAAGAAAGCGCTGTGGGGATACACACTGTAAAGAGGTTTGAAGAGGGAGAAAATGGTTGGGAGCAGAGAGGGAAGGAGTGCGTGCACACCAAGTGGAGAGCGAGAGGCACTCACCTGTCTGTGGGTCCACAGAGAAGAACTGCTGTCCCTGCACAAGTGTGTACACCAGCCTGGCACTGTTGCCATAGGTTGGGTCATCAGCATCTGTCGCTGTCACCTGGATTATAGAAGTACCTGAGGGAGGAGGGAGAAAGCAGAGCAGCGTTAAAACAACATAACACACACACATACACACACACACTGCCCAGACACAGCAGTACATTAGCACACCACAACAACCAGAGAGCCAAATACTGACTGACTGACTGGCTGGCTGGCTGGCTGGCTGGCTGACAACTCCTACCTCTCTATTTCTCCATCTCTCTCTCCCTCTCGCTCTCTCATACCCCCTCACTCTCTTTCGGCAGCAGTGTGACAAATACTTTATTCACTTTCTTTCTCCCCTGCTGCTCACCTTCTTTCTCTCTTGATTATGTCTGTCTCACTTCATTTCTCTTCATCTCCGTCTCCAATTCCCTTTTGCTCCCTCTCTCAATCTCTCCGTCTGTCGGTTGCCCCCCTTGTCTCCCCCCTGACTCCCTCATGTCCTGAATCCCTGCCTCTCCTGACAGATATGGACTTTTTTCCCACCAAATAAATCAAAGACCGTCAGCTTCATGTGAGAAATTGAAATTGTAGCAAAAAAATATATATACAGTTTGGAAAGAAGAACTACGTTTCCCATGGGGCACTGGGCTGACAAGCTCTGAGGGTAGAAGGGATTTGTGGGAGCAGCTGTTGCTGTTTTCTGACATCAAAGCCCTGACAGTGTCACCGGGAGAGAGAGTGAGGGAGGGAGGGAGGGAGGGAGGGAGGGAGGGAGGGAGGGAGGGAGGGAGGGAGGGAGGGAGGCGAGGGAGGCGAGGGAGGGAGAGAGGCGAGGGAGGGAGAGAGGCGAGGGAGGGAGGGAGGGGGAAACTGGTTACTGATCTATCACAGGTAGTTAACAGGCAGAGGAAAGGCAAATGGAAGATGGAGAGAGAGAGAGGAAGGGCGAGAGGAGCAATTGTTTTGAGGTACGCGGCAGTACAAGAATGATCAGATAGACAGATCAAACAAGTTTGACTGTGGGGTTTGACAGAACAAGCACAAGAGAGACAGAAACCTTATGATATGCAGGCTGCTAAAACACAGTCACAATTTGGAGTGATGATGCATTCAGACTGAGATGTATTACCAGTGAATGGATACTGTGTGAATACCATAGTGGATCATTTCCATGTGAAATACTGTAATGCTAAAGCAGTGGTAGAAATCAAATCCTCGTATCCACTTAAATCTAGACTTAGGGCTGAAATTCACAATCAGGGGAAGCAAACTCAATCTCGATTCATAGTGAAAGGAGATGATGAAAGATATCTCAACCAATCTCTTCAACAAGCTGACTTGGTGTCAGTGTGACTACTATCATTATCCCATTCCATCACCACTGTGGCATTGACGGTGGAAGATATTACCAGTTTTATGTAACAGTTCTTTGATAAGACTCTCACGCGCCGCTAGGTGCTAGTCTCGCAACAAACCATTGTGCATTTTGAAAAACACCTTGGTAAATATCGAATCCAGGTAAATATTGAAGCCATGATTGACTGAACATCTCAATCTGAGACCGAGCTTTGAAAAGCAAGCACACATCAAAATGGGTAAAATTATTATTAAAGGTAGCAAGCAGCAGCAGATTAAAAAAGACAACGGCACCCCTGCAGTACCTATGTTGGCCATCTCAGGCACTGTGGCGCTGTAGGGCCCTTCCTCAAACAGAGGTGGGTTGTCGTTGATGTCCTGCACTCTGATGATGAACGTGGATGAGGGCTCCAGGGCCCGGTCGGTCTGCCGGTCGGTTGCTGTGGCGATGAGGCGGTACTCGTCCTTTTCCTCGCGGTCCAGGGGCTTGGTGACGTGGATGTTGCCCGTCTTCTCGTCAATCACAAACACCGCCCCCGCCCCCTCGCCCCTCAGCACGTACTTGGTGCGCCCATCACCTCTGTCCATGTCAGTGTGCAGCTGAGAGAGAGAGATAGAAGGAGAGAGAGAATGAGATATATAGAGGAAGAGGGGTTAACACAAGCTATAAAATAAAAGAGAAAGAATCAAAGAGAAATAAAGGGGATTATACACAGTGCTTGAGGACATGCGTTTGTCTGAGGACGAGAACACTGGAACACATCCAAACAAACACCCTCTCATCTATTCAGATCCGTCCATGGGGCAATGGCCATGAACTAGGATAATCATAATCTCAATATCCATAATAATGCACCAGCTCAACTGGGCATGCTATTCTCACAAACAGTTCTCTCTGAAAGCTCTTCAAACTGTGAAATACAGTTCCCTACTGCTGCAACGATGAATGAAAGTAGACATTTAGCACATATTAAAGTTGAGGTCTAATCAATTATTCTCCAACTACTGAGAGTGTATTAAGGAGGACCAGGTGTCGCAGCGGTACATGCTGTATTGATCCCAACTGCTGCTGGCTTATTGGATCAGCCCTGGCTGGCTGGTGGCTGGGGCTCTCTCAAGCGGAACGGGGGAAATAGCAGAATAGGCCCTCCATCTCCCCCCTCAACGGTTTGCCTGGCCCTGCTCAGGGGATGTGCTCCGCACATCAGCATTCATTCTCATTACCGCTCAAACGTGGACGGAATAGGAACCCTGACAACAGAGCGCAAAATTTGCCTCACTCCAAAAAAGTGTGACATTGCAAGAAAAGTGTGAGTGGGGAGTGCTTGAAAGCATTGTTGCACGGCAACAGCTAAGCACATTTGCTAAATGAAATGAAAATGGATACTCTGAATCAAAATATTCATTAGGTTTTTACATATCCCCATTTCAAGGGGAAAAATTGTATGTATGACCTCCCAGGAGGTAAACAATTCACATTGATGTTGACAAGACTGTTTGCACCCGTTAACCAAATATAACCTTTTTATACAGTGGGGGGAAAAAGTATTTAGTCAGCCACCAATTTTGCAAGTTCTCCCACTTAAAAAGATGAGAGAGGCCTGTAATTTTCATCATAGGTACACGTCAACTATGACAGACAAAATGAGGAAAAAAATTCCAGAAAATCACAATGTACGATTTTTTATGAATTTATTTGCAAATTATGGTGGAAAATAAGTATTTGGTCAATAACAAAAGTTTCTCAATACTTTGTTATATACCCTTTGTTGGCAATGACACAGGTCAAACGTTTTCTGTAAGTCTCCACAAGGTTTTCACACACTGTTGCTGGTATTTTGGCCCATTCCTCCATGCAGATCTCCTCTAGAGCAGTGATGTTTTGGGGCTGTCGCTGGGCAACACGGACTTTCAACTCCCTCCAAAGATTTTCTATGGGGTTGAGATCTGGAGACTGGCTAGGCCACTCCAGGACCTTGAAATGCTTCTTACGAAGCCACTCCTTCGTTGCCCGGGCGGTGTGTTTGGGATCATTGTCATGCTGAAAGACCCAGCCACGTTTCATCTTCAATGCCCTTGCTGATGGAAGGAGGTTTTCACTCAAAATCTCACGATACATGGCCCCATTCATTCTTTCCTTTACACGGATCAGTCGTCCTGGTCCCTTTGCAGAAAAACAGCCCCAAAGCATGATGTTTCCACCCCCATGCTTCACAGTAGGTATGGTGTTCTTTGGATGCAACTCAGCATTCTTTGTCCTCCAAACACGACGAGTTGAGTTTTTACCAAAAAGTTCTATTTTGGTTTCATCTGACCATATGACATTCTCCCAATCCTCTTCTGGATCATCCAAATGCACTCTAGCAAACTTCAGACGGGCCTGGACATGTACTGGCTTAAGCAAGGGGACACGTCTGGCACTGCAGGATTTGAGTCCCTGGCGGCGTAGTGTGTTACTGATGGTAGGCTTTGTTACTTTGGTCCCAGCTCTCTGCAGGTCATTCACTAGGTCCCCCCGTGTGGTTCTGGGATTTTTGCTCACCGTTCTTGTGATCATTTTGACCCCACGGGGTGAGATCTTGCGTGGAGCCCCAGATCGAGGGAGATTATCAGTGGTCTTGTATGTCTTCCATTTCCTAATAATTGCTCCCACAGTTGATTTCTTCAAACCAAGCTGCTTACCTATTGCAGATTCAGTCTTCCCAGCCTGGTGCAGGTCTACAATTTTGTTTCTGGTGTCCTTTGACAGCTCTTTGGTCTTGGCCATAGTGGAGTTTGGAGTGTGACTGTTTGAGGTTGTGGACAGGTGTCTTTTATACTGATAACAAGTTCAAACAGGTGCCATTAATACAGGTAACGAGTGGAGGACAGAGGAGCCTCTTAAAGAAGATGTTACAGGTCTGTGAGAGCCAGAAATCTTGCTTGTTTGTAGGTGACCAAATACTTATTTTCCACCATAATTTGCAAATAAATTCATTAAAAATCCTACAATGTGATTTTCTGGATTATTTTTTCTCAATTTGTCTGTCATAGTTGACGTGTACCTATGATGAAAATTACAGGCCTCTCTCATCTTTTTAAGTGGGAGAACTTGCACAATTGGTGGCTGACTAAATACTTTTTTCCCCCACTGTAAGTTTCCACTGTCTGCAAAGTTGAGCTGAACAATTCTATATGCATTATGTTTTTACATACTTTATCATTCCTCCTTCCACAACATGATTTCACTGCCAATTTCACATAATCATTTCTTAAAATTGAGCAGAGGGTAACACTCCTAGTACTATTATCACTTTATTCCAGAAATTACTAATTAACTCTATGTAAATTACAATGTCTACAAATAAATTGGCAGGCAGTGAAACGATTTTGTGGGAAGGGTGCCGGATTGGGACCTGCAAATAGACCACCACATGGCAGCTCTTTAAGGTTGTCACGGATACTGCACTTATAGTACATCCGGTATTAGTTATTTTGATAGTCTGAACTGGGAGTTCTTCTATCTTCATCCTGGATGTTTTGGTTTGGCCCGATTGGTCTGGACACCAGTGGAGGCTGTGAGGGGAGGATGGCTCATAATAATGGCTGGAACAGAGCAAATGGAATGGTATCAAACACATGGAAACCATGTGTTTGATGTATTTGATACCATTCCACTTATTCCGCTCCAGCCATTACCACAAGCCAGTCCTCCCCAATTGAGGTGCCACCAACCTCCTGTGCTACACACTCAGCTGGTCAAGACCACCAGAAGGGAAGGTTCCACACTCACAAAATTAAGCACGTTCAGGGTTCTTAACGAAGGGTCATTAATGGCCTTAACGACGTGGCTTAACGAGGCCCTTAATGAAGCTCCTGCCATCATTACCACAGTGAGTGGTGTCTGTGATGATGAAAGGCCGGCCAATCTCTGGCCCGGGAGGTGAGGAGAAGAGTTCTCTCAAGATGTGCCATCTAACCTGGCCGTCACTGATCAACACACAGTACTGTTTATGGTATAACACAGGGACCTCCATAACACCTTCTAATCTGGCCGTCACTGTTTAACACACAGTATATCAACACAGGGACCTCCATAACACCCTCTAATCTGTCTGTCACTGATCGACACACAGTATTATATGGTACAGCACTGGGGCCTCCATAACACCTTCTAACCTGTCTTCATAACATGAACCATTAGCTTTATATGGGCTCACATTAACTCACATACCTTTTATTTGACCAATAACAGCATAGATTAATGATCTCATCTATCACTACAGTGCTATAACACCAACAACGCTATCATATAGTACACATACCTATTCACATTTACCACAACCAATAACGCCCCTTAACGTCCACTGTAAGAGCCCATAACAGCCAGATACTTCATCAAATCCATTGAAAGAAAAAACAGTCAGCCACTGACCACATCAGAGAAATCACCAACCTCACCACATTATCACCCCTCTCTAGCCTGCCAGAGTGATCGGACTCAGACCTCAGCAGTGGCAGTCTGGTCTGCTACAGTACTGACTGAGGAGCCTGCTACTGTGTATGCAAACCTTGACTCCCAGACCCCTAAATCACTTAAATTACTTATATTATCATAAGGTAATATGCTTATACTCATATACTCAATTTCACATTTTTGCAATAACCATACATCATATACCACAGAAAAAGCACTCCGTGTCAACCTCTAAATCACTTAAATAACTTATAGCCGTATACTCAATTTCAAATTTCTGCAGCACAATAAATCATAAAAACGTAAGAAAATCAATTTTGCATCTGCGCATTAGGCTAATGAATATGTTTTCCTCAGCACACATTCTGGGAGGCTGGAGTAGAAGGGGAAAGCATGGTTATGGGAAATTGGTGTTGAATGAAGTAAAAGAGCAATAGCCTCCAGTGGCATGGGGGACTAAAGACATCGTTTCACCACACAGGGACTACTGTGGTGTGAGGTTCAATCCCCATCACACCAGGGAGAAGAATCAAAGGCTTTGGAGACAGCGTGAGGGAGGATATCCCTAGATCTTTAACTACATTGTGGAGAATCGTCTCCTCGTGCTCTGTTTGGTGGACTACCACTGTATATATCGTAACTTCAAAGAGCTAGGGTCACATGATCAATGTATACCATGGCTTCACAGAACAAGTGTCTAGACGTCTAGGGCTGTTTCCATATCATTCATACCAACCCACTCCTTTCATGGCCTCTAGGGGGAGTCAATAAGGGCATAGGGGAGAAGGGCACTGTATTGATTTGGCATGTGGCCAACAATAACTTCACTTCAGAGCCAATTTTAAATACAGAATGTGCTCGGAGCCATGTTCTAGACAGCCTCTCGGTGTGTCTTTCTTACCCTAGCAGGACACTTCAAAGTGTAACTATGCCAGAAATGAAACACAGTGCTCCTACAGCGTGTTGTGTGGCCTGGCTGGCC